TCTGGTCTTTGCTAAAATCACCAAGGAAAACAACAAACACAACAGTAGGAGAAAACATGGGACATGGCCAAGAACACAGGACCAGAGATGACGCTCAAGTTGAGATTCAGGTCTCTTTTATTCTACCATAATGTTTTCTTTCCACATTATTCTCATTCATCGCCTTCATATAATTAATAATTTGATTGGAGAAAATCAGGAAAAAGGGGAAATATTCTTCTTCTATAAGCCGAAAGTGAACAAGGAGGAAGTTCACAGTGTGGACGATGTGCAGCGGTTGTATATCGTATTGCGACCGGAGTCCGGTGAGAGAGCAGTCGAAGAGAAGCAAGACCCTCACTCTGGCAAGGAGGGTGCCAAATCAGAGTCAGATGAAGAACAACCTCATCGAAATGAAGGCGGGCAGGGCAGCCAGGTATGATGAAAAGAACATTATTTGCTTAAACATTGTTTGTCTACTTGAAAAACCTTATAATCAATTTGCAGAAAGTAAATATGGAGGAAGAGCCATTGTTACGGTTCATTGTTATGGGGAGGAAGAAACTACCAGATCCAAGCAAGAAGTCCCAATCTTTCTGGGGTTTTGTGGAGTTAGTGACTACAAAGATAGAAGATGTGAAAAATGCTCTAAAAGGAGGTATGGGTTTTGCTTATCACACTGAAAAGTTCACTGTCCATTATTTTTTACATATGCAACAAGGTCTGCAACCTGATGTTTTTTGCAGAGGAATACGATACATCATCGATAGGTCACCGACATGTTCCTCCGGCGAGAGCAGTGGGAGAAGGTGTTTACCGTATCCTGAGGCACAATCCTAATAACAAAATGCACACTCATCTGATATACAAACTTGAATTCCCACAGCCAAAAGAAGAAGAAGAAGAGAATGAGCCCCAAGAATCTCTCAACATCGAGCGAGAAGGCTCGTTCTTGATACAAATAAACAACCCATCAAAAGCTACCAATTCCGAGTTCAGGGGAGTCCGAAAAAAGCGCAAGGCAGTCTTCCCCGCTCACCTGCAAGGCCAGCTGGGGAAAAACAAGTACCATCCGGCTGATCCACCCGACCTTTTGAACTACGAAGGATGCGAGCTGTTACTTATTTCGGCATCCGATGATATCGATGAGGAACTGGGTTTGGAACTGGAGACCGAAGGGGAAGCAGACCCTTCTTGTTCGGATTTGGTGAGGACTTTTGGGGACACTGCATCAACTACTCCACTCTTCAAGGGAATTTGGGCTTGAATGGTGCAATAACTATGGCGTTTTGTTTTTGATGTCACTCATGTATCAAATGTTGCAGTTGGTACCTTTAAGGTAGTGCAAGGGCATAGAGTCCTTCGCTTTGTGCAGCAATAAATCTGTCCTTTTTGAGTAATTGTATTTTTTTATTAATATTAGGGTAAATTATATCATTGATCGCTCAACTATTTAATCTTTTTTAATTTTACTACCGTTTTTATTTTATTTTATTAATCAGACTACTAAACTATTTAACCATTAAACTATTTAATTGTTTTCAATCAAATTATTTTCGATCAAGTCATATTAACATTTAATTCATGTTAATATTTAATAGACTATATGACGTGACATTTTGATAGCATTTGGTAATTAAACATTTTGATACATTAATGTATAATTAAATATTTGATTTCTATTGTTTACATATTTTTCAATTTAGTCATATTTTTTCAATTTATTATGTGTCACCGTTTTGATTAAAAAATTAAGTTTATTTTAATTTATTTTCGTGTTGAAAGAAAATATTTGATTCATTTTGGTGTTATTAATTATATCTTTATTGGACACGATTTTTGTCTTTTCTGGAACGTTTTCAGTCATTTGGTCGTTATTTTTGTTTATCGTTATTTTTGTTATTATTTTTCTTAAGGTTAGATTTAACATCGTCACAACTGATTAAAATAATATTTTATTTGTTGTTATAATGATATTCCCTGTTTTGAACTCTCGAATTAGATTTGGATACGTGACTTGTCTTTGTGAATAGTATTTTCAATGTAGTTAAATTATAATTTACGATTTGTCGATGACCTTTCACATTTTTTTGCGTGGTTTGTTTATTGATACAGTTAAATTTATTCGTATCTACTTTTTATCTGAGTTTATATGTTTAAGTTTTTTTAACTTTTTCATTGTATGATCTTGTGATCAAGTGACTAATTTTTCTCATATTTAAGAAAATATCTTTATTATATATTTAATTTATAATTTTAATTGTAAATATTCGTTGTAATTTGAATATATTTTATTTTTAATATAATTAATAGATTCTATTAAAAAATCTTATAATATGAATATTTCATTTTACACTCAAATGTCAAATGAATCAATAAATTTTATATTTTATATCACTAATTCTAGAATTTAGAGAGACGACTTTTAAAATTGTGGTCACTCACCGGCGTCTTCTCTGTCAATACTCAAGTCGTATTTGCTAAAATTCTCCTTAAACTTGTATATTCAAAGTGGAAGATTTTGAGAGTCGGGGATGAAAGAGATAGAATTTGACTAATCGGAAAGAAAATTCTTCAACCCATTGCGGCTACCATGATCTTCCCAAATTCTTAATAATCTACTGATCGAAGGCTGTAGGCGATGACAACTCTCATGAATCCTCTTCAATGGCTTCTCATGTTACAGTTCATGTTCTTTCTTTCTCGCTTCTTCTTATCTGCAGACACCATAAGGCAACATCACTTCATCAAAGACAACGATGAAATGATGATCTCCAGTGGCAAGATTTTTGCACTAGGATTTTTCGGCCCCGAAAATTCCAGGAACCGATACGTTGGCATTGGGTATCATCAGATTCCGGACAAGGTAGTTGTTTGGGTGCCTAACAGAGACAACCCCATTACAGACAACTCGGGATTCTCATAATCGACAGTCTAGGAAATCTTGCCTTGTTCCATAGAAACCAAACACTTGCCGTCTGGTCTACTAACGTATCCATCATAGGCACTAGGAACACCATTGCTCAAATTTTAGATTCGGGAAATCTTGTCTTGCTTCAGAATGATACCAGAAAGGTTGTACTGTGGCAGAGTTTTTATCATCCTACAAATACTTGGCTTCCATCTATGAAACTGGGATTGAGTTTCAGAACTGGTCTGAACCGAATCATTACGTCTTAGAAGTCTCCGGATGATCCAGGATTGGGAAATTATTCCTTAAAGATGAACCCAAACGGGTCTCCCCAAATGTTTCTGTACAAGGGTTCGACACCATGGTGGCGGAGCGACCCTTGGACGGGGCAAAGATGGAGTGGTATACCGACCATGACGAATAAGTTCATACTTAATATGTATTTCGTCGACTCCGACGATGAAGTATTGTACTCATCATCTGTGAAAAATGCCTCACACATAGTAAGAAGAGTAACCAATGAGACTGGAATTATAGAAGGATTAATATGGAACCATGAAGACCAACGTTGGATTGCCTTTTATTCGCATCCAAATGAAAAATGTGATTTTTACGGTCATTGTGGACCTAATGCTTACTGTAATCCTTATCTCACAGATGATTTTGAGTGTACATGTTTCCCAGGATTCGAACCGAAATCACCAGAAGCATGGCTTATTAGAGATGGGGCTGGAGGATGCGTGAAGAAGCCTAGTATCTCAATGTGTGGAAATGGAGAAGGGTTTATCAAGTTTCGACATATGAAGGTCCCGGACACTTCGGCGGCACATGTAGACACGAGTATCGGATTGAAACAATGCAAGGAAAAGTACTTAAGAGATTGTTCATGCATGGCTTACGCCAGTGCATACTCTGAGACCAACAGAGGGGGTTGGCTGCTTGACATGGCACGGTGATTTGTTTGATGCGAGTGTAATAGGTTCCTATGAGCTTACAAGTTGTTAGTGATAGGTAGTTGTTTGAGTTTTCTGTTACAAGCAGTTATGCTTGTGTTTAAGCAGTTATGGTTCTGTTTCAGTTCAGTTGAGTAAGCTCATAGAGCTATAAATAAGTTGTATTGTAACGAGAGATGTATCTTCTTGTTTTCTTTCCTTAACAAGGTTTTGAGAACCTTTCTCTCTCTTTTATCATTTTCTGTTCATTAAGCTGTGTTAATGAACAGCGAGGACATTTACACGTACTGGACAAGATCTATACGTATTAGTGGATGCTAATGAGTTAGGTAAGTTCCCTGCATTCGATTCTATAATTTGCTACCTATATCTGCTTGCAAGTTGCAGTCATAACTAGTTTCGAAATTAATTGGTTTCTTCCATTTGCAATCATATCGAAATCTTGATAGCTCGGTACACAACGAAAGTTCTACTTCGAAAGAAGGGGGTGCTTGCCGTTATCATAGTTTCTTCTGCTGTAGTGTTTATCATACTCGTTGCCTTCTTTCATTGCTTTGGAAGAAGGCTAAGAAGCGGTAAGTACCACTTTTTTCTACTGCTTTTGTTTGTTAAACCTCTTATTTTATCATGTAGAGATTAACACTTAGCATAATCATGACTATTGTGTTTTAGTACCGACTGCAGCAAGAGCAAGAAACAGCAAAAAAATGTTTAGTTCTACCACATTTGAAGATCCTTTAGGTGTAAGGGAGATTAAGGAGAGCAGAAGAAATGGCGATCTACCATTCTTTGATTTCAGCACCATATCAGCTGCCACTAACAATTTTCTTCTGGTAACAAACTTGGACAAGGCGGATTCGGTCCTGTTTACAAGGTAGTTTGTCTTCACAACGATGCATATACATGCGGACGAGCAATGGAACTCCGATTACTCCATTCTGTTGTGTTTACAGGGTGTTCTGTTGAATGGAAATGAAGTAGCAGTGAGACGACTATCCAAGTACTCGGGTCTGGGACTTGAAGAGTTCAAGAATGAAACAGTGCTGATTGTAGAACTTCAGCACAGGAATCTGGTACGCTTGCTGGGATGTTGCATTGAAGGTGAAGAGAAGATGTTAATCTATGAATTTTTACCAAATAAAAGCTTAGACTCCATTTTTGGCACGAATTTCTTTCGCACATTCTATTAGAAACATCACTTTTGATGATCGAGTACTTCTTCCAAGTATTTTTCTTCCGAGTCCAGATGAATCAAAAAGATCATTGTTGGATTGGAAAAAGCGTTTAGAAATTATCTGTGGGATTGCACGAGGAATGCTGTATCTTCACCAGGATTCCAGGTCAAGAGTCATTCACAGAGATTTGAAAGCAAGCAATATACTACTAGATGCCACAATGAATCCCAAAATTTCAGATTTTGTCATGGCCAGAATATTTGGAGCAGAACAAATTGAGGCCAATACTAAACATGTAGTTGGAACATAGTAAGCATTCCTTCTAAAACGTTTGCTAAAGATTCCAAACAACTTCCTAACCATATCCTGTTTGGTCTACAAACATCTCCATGGCAGGTACTAGGAACACCATTGCTCAAATTCTAGACTTGGGAAATCTTGGTTTGCTTCAGAATGATACCGGGAAGGCTTTACTGTGGCAGAGTTTTGATTATCCTACGAATACCATGCTTTTGTTTATGAAACTCGGTTGAGATTCCGAACCGGTTTGAACCGAGTATATACGCCTTGGAAGTCATCAGACGATCCAGGATCTGGAAACTATTCCATAAGGATGAACCCCACCGAGTTTCCTCAAATGTTTGTGTACGAGGGTTCGGCTCCTTGGTGGCGAAGCGGGCCATGGACCGGACATAGATGGAGTGGTATACCTCAAAATAACGAACGTCTTGTTTAATGTTTCTTTAGTCAACACCGATGATGAAGTATCGTTCTCGTATAATGTGAAGAATGCCTCGATAAAATCAAGAACCGTAATGAATGAAACAGGAATCCTACAAGGGTTTGGATGGAACAATGAAGCACAACGTTGGATTGTTTCTTATTTGGTTCCAAAGGAACAGTGTGATTTCTACGGGCATTGTGGCCTAATTAGTTACTGCAACCCTGATATTCCAGATGTTTTCGAGTGTACATGTTTACCCGGATTTGAACCCAAATCGCCGGAAGCCTGGTTTATAAAAGATGGATTGGGAGGATGGATGAAGATCGGGAAACACGGTGTCTCGACATGTGGAAATGGAGAAGGGTTCGTCAAGGTGTCACATGGGAAGGTGCCGGACACTTTGGCAGCACTTGTAGAAATGAGTATAGGCTTGAAGCAATGCGAGAAAATGTGCTTGAGAAACTGTTCATGCATGGCCTATGCTAGTTTAAACTCTGAGATCGACAGAGGGACTGGGTGCATGACATGGCACAGAGATTTGCTCAATGCTAGGACATTTATCCTTGCGGGACAAGATCTATACTTGCGTGTCGATGCTAACGAGTTAGGTACATGCCATACATTCAATTCTACTGTGAACATATGGCTGGATAGAAAAATTAGTTCCACTGCTAATTTGTTTCTTCCATCGGCAATCATATCTCCATTTTTATAGCTGGTATGCAAAGAATGGTCTACTTCAAAAGAAGGGAGTGTTCGTGGTTACCATAGTTTCCTCTGCTCTAGTGTTTCTCATCCTTGTTGCCTCGTTGTGTTGCTTCGTACGAAGGCGGAGAAGAGGTACGTGCAACAGTTTTTGTCACTGTTTTCATTTGTTTAACTTCTCATGGACAGTGGACTCACATTTTGCAACTAAATTGGCTTAATCATCATATCATGTACTGAAAGCAGCAAGAACACGAAAAAGCAAAAATATCTTTGGTTTTGCCACATTCGAAGACTCTTTAGGTGGAAAGGATATTGATGAGGGCAGAAGAAATGGAGATTTGTCATTCTTTGATTTGAGCACCATAGCCGCTGCACTGATAATTTTTCTTCCGATAATAAACTCGGACAAGGCGAATTTGGCCCTGTTTACAAGGTCGTTTGTCTTCACAACTACGAGTAATGAAACTCCTATTACTGCATTCTTAAAGGGAAATTCCTGTGTGTTTGCAGGGCGTTCTGTTTAATGGAAAAGAAATAGCAGTGAAAAGACTATCAAAGCAATCAGGGCAGGGAGTTCAAGAATGAAATTGTGTTGATTGTAAAACTTCAGCACAGGAATCTCTTACGAATGCTGGGATGTTGCGTTGAGGGTGAAGAGATGTTAATCTATGAACCAAATAAAAGCTTAGACTCTATCATTTTCGGTACGACTTTCTATCACATATGCTTTCAGAAACATCACTTTTGAAGATTGAGTACTTACACTGAGTATTTTTCTTCGATTTCGAGTCCAGATAAATCGAAAAGATCACTGTTGGATTGGAAAAACCGTTTAGAAATTATATGTGGTATTGCTCGAGGATTGCTGTATCTTCACCAGGATTCCAGGTTAAGAGTCATTCACAGAGATTTGAAGGCAAGCCATTTACTCCTAGATGCCACAATGAATCCGAAAATTTCGGATTTTCGCATGGCCAGAATATTTGGAGGAGACCAAATTGAAGGCGATACAAAACATGAAGTTGGAACATAGTAAGCATTCCTTCTAAAAAGTCCGAACTTCTACTACAGGTTTTAAACAAATTACCTTTTCTTTTTGTTGTGTGATTTTAGTGGTTATATGTCGCCAGAGTATGCAATGCATGGTCATTTCTCGATGAAATCAGATGTTCATAGCTTCGGCGTACTAATGTTAGAGATCATCACTGGAAAAAGTAACCAATACGTTCTCGACAACCCGTTTTTGAATCTAGTTGGACACGTAAGTAATGACCTCTTCAAGAATTAAATAAAAGATTTCCATCAAATGGTAATTTTCAACTACTTTGTTTCAGATTTGGGAGTTATGGGAAGAAGGCAATGCCATGCAAGCAGTTGATTCGGTCTTAGGTGAGTCGTATCCTGCCGATGACATTTTGAAATGCATTCAAATTGGGCTAATGTGCCTTCAAGAACAAGCAACAGATCGACCAATGATGTCCGCAGTTGTTTCGATGTTGAGCAACGAAACAACTCTTTGGTTGCCAAAACATCCTGCATTCTTGGTGAAGAAAAACAAGATATCGAGTAGTGAAGGTAATAACTCTGTAAATGGTGTGACTATCTCTAAGATTCAAGCTCGCTAGATATATAATATATTTCTTCTTAGTGTCATGAACACAATGTAAGTTTCTGACAACAAATCAATCCCAACAAACCCATAAATTTATTCTTCCATGGAGATGGAAGATCCAAAACGATCGAAGCATATTTATAAAGCTGAATACTTGTCATAGTAAAAATATCAAGCTGTTCCCTTGAGCTTTTTCGCAATGCCGGCGAAGTACTTCCCCTGGTGGAAAGCTTGCTCCAGCTCTAGCTCAGATGGCTGTCTCGAGCCATCACCGGCATAAGTTCCAGCACCATAAGGGCTTCCACCTTTCACCTTCTCCAACTCGAACATACCAGCACCGAAAGTGTAGCCGATGGGCACAAAAATCATTCCATGGTGAGCAAGTTGAGTAATTGAAGTTAAGCTGCAAAATATTCCAGTTAATAGAAATGTACTAAAGTGCTATTAAATACTTTAAAACAATAATGTTATTGGTGCAAAAGCACTCACGGGGTAGTCTCTTGTCCACCTCCTTGGGAGCCAGTGCTGTAGAAAATTCCTGCAGGTTTGCCTGCAAGTGCTTGTGTTCTCCACAGACCTCCTGTTGCATCCATGAAGGCTTTAAATTGTGCAGCCATCATCCCGAATCTAGTGGGAAATCCGAAAAGGACACCATCGGCTTCGGTGAGCTCATCGGGTGTTATCAAAGGAGCATCAGTCTTTGGTGGTGCACCCATTTTGGCAAGTACTTCCTCCGGTAGCGTTTCCGGCACCTGTCGATAATACACTTATAGGATCATTTTCGTTGCTCATTCGGATTCCCCCTGCACTAATGTGTGACCATTGATATAAGAAGATAATCAAACCTGCCAGAGCTTGACTTCTACTCCCTCTACGGATGAAGCTCCTTTCTTAATCTCCTGTGCCAGCTTCTCAACATGTCCATACATGGAATAGTAACTGCAAAAAATAACCCAAAGTTGTATTCAAGTTCATGCCCCAAAAAACGCAACAAATGCATCAATGAGGTTCCTTGGAAAGGAAGCAAAACATGTCCAGACATATCTTTTTTGAAAGAAGGAAATGGTCCGTGACATATGACTACATGTTTATGGCGCATCCATATGATCTACATAATACACATAAAAACAATTTCTTCTAGATGGAAAGAAGGGGGGAAAAGTGATCTTGAAGAACTACTTTATAAGCTTGTCTGTATTCTGTACGCATTGGAAACCATGAAAACGAAAGCCACGTTGTGAAATTATATGCACATAGAAGTGGAGTACAACAAATAATGGATGAAGGGACCAAATGACTCAAAAAGAAAAGATCCCTACTATTACTTTATTCTGGTATTTTCTACTGTATTTTTCTACTGTTTCTTCTATGCCCGGTTCCTATTAAGAAATAAATGCTTTGACAGCAATAAATTTCACTGTTTTTAGTAGAGAAAAACCGATGAAGCTCCTTTTAACCGAGGAAAAAGAGAGAGATAAGAACAAAAGCATTAATGATTTTTTTAAAAATAAAACCAGTCACTAAATCAAACTGGAACCAAATAATGTGAATCTGTGAATCATATAAGAAAATGAATTAAGGGCTAAATGCATAAGAAGAAACAGAGAATGAGCAAAAGATTCAACCATGGCTAGTAAACAGAGCAACCCAAAAAAAAAAAGATAAGGAAGCTTACACAATGTAGACTTTGGTGGCCATTCTGTGACCTGGTTAACTTTGTTTGAATGTTTTGAAGGCAAAGGAAAGGGTTGTTAAAAATGCTGTGTTTTAAGCAGAGAGTGAGGACAGACAGAACAGAGGAATGGAACCCTTTATTTATAGTGAAGTTTAGAGAAGGCTTAATAAGAAAATAAGCGATTAAACTATACCCTTTTTCTTATAAATTGGTGTCTGAACTTTTTTTATTCATAAATATTATTATTTTAAGTATCTGACTGTAAAAGTTGTTAAAAAACACTCTTAAATAACACATGTAATATTACGATAATTTTGAATATTTAAAAAAAACAAAAAAGTATTATTATATTTTAAGAAAACTATAATTTCTATAAATTTAAAAAAAATTAAATCCTTAAAATCAACCCCTAAATCCTTAGGCGATATTATTTTAAAAATCCCATAAATTAAATTTTTGAACCGTATCCCTCATACCAAATTTGTTAAAAAAATACCTTACAAACTACACACGTAAAATTAACTCACGTCTTTAGAAACGCGAGTAAATGTCTCGCTTTATACAAGGCACAAGGTACACCCAACTTTGACACACTTTTCAAATAATGCAATTTAATATTAGTATTAATAATCTCGCGTTACACAGAACACAAGGTTACAGAGATATTGAAACATCCTGAGAAATTATCGAGAGTGATATTTAACATACCTCGAGTTTTCCAATACACGAGGTATGTATTCCTTTTTGAGTTAAATTTAATTATTTTATTTTTATTACATAATATATAATAAAATAACAAAAAACTAGATTGTTATAAATAGACAATACTAATTAAAATTCAATACCTATGCAAAATGTTACAAAACAAAATTGTTTCATGGTTCTAAAAACAAGAATCATAACAAATAGGGGTGAGCATTCGATCGAGTCGAGTAAAAATTTTTCGAGTTATTCGAGTTGACGAGTCGTATTTTACAACTTGAAATTTTTTCAAGTCGAGTCGAGTTTAAGTTATTTGAGTCAAGTTATTCAAGTTTCTATAATAATTTTATTATAATTATTTATAATATTATGAAAATGATTTGTTCTAAATTTTTTACTTTCTCTAACCATAATATATAAGTATAATATATATTATACTATTTTCACATTATAATGTTATTTAATATATCAAATACAATATAAAATTATGAAATATATTCATAATATTATATTTTAACGAATTATTTTAAGGGTAAAATATTGATAAAAATATAAAGGAGTCAATGAATTGATGGGAATATATTATTTGCAAACAATTGTAGTCAACAGACCAAATTGAATAAAATGCAAAGTTAAGGGACTAAATTAAAAAAAGAGTAAACCTTTAGTAAAAAATTAGAATTGAAGTTACATAGGTATTATATTGTGGTATATGAGCAGGTGGTTCAAATTTGGTAAAAAAAGACTTAAAATAAAGGATGAATTGAAGAAAGAAGGAGATTATGAAAAATTGAATGACTAAATTGAAAAATAAAAATTGAAAGTACATTTGTATTTTATTATGGTTTAGGAGTATGTGGTTCAAATTTGGTAAACTTAAAATGAAGGAGAAATTGAAGAAATAATGAAACTAGGGATTAAATCGTAAAATTGTCAAAATACTTAGTCAAATTTTTGGTTTTTCGAGAAACTTAAAATTTTAAAATTTCAACTCGAATCAAACTTAAAAAATGAATTGATAATTTGATTTGAGTCGAATAACTCGACTTAAATAACTCAAAATTTTAAAAAAAAATCGAGTCGAGTCGAGTGTTGCTCACTCCTAATAACAAGTACATAATTGTTATAGTCTTTTTGCCAAACTTGGTGGTATGAATTACGCAGACAGTTGGTAGGTGACAGGTGTCGTTTCACTTTCAAAATAATTTTGGCTTCTTAAAAATAAATAAATAAATAGAGAGAGAGAGAGTAGAGTAAGGGAGCAAGGTCGGTCCACAGGGACTCTGGTGTTTCTAATGAAGTGAACTTTCTGATTTAGAAAATGATGAGATAAGGTAGAGTTTTGAATGAGATTAAAAATTATTTTTTAAAAAATAAAAGATAAGAATTAAATAAAAGAAAATAATTAAATAAATAAATTTAAAGTGATTGAGATAAAGAAAAACTTATAGTGAAATTAGCTTCAGGCTTTAGCTTTTGCCTCAAATTCCTATTGATCCTCGAAATAAATTTTTGCTTGAGTATTCGTCGGTTACAGTCTATAGGGCCCAACCAATGTAACTTGTTTTTCTCTCTTATGAACTGATAGCCCAAAATCTATTTTTGGATATCAGTCCTTTAAGGAGACTAACTACGACTATCGTCGTTAGCACCAAACTGTTTTATAGATATGGAGAAACCCAACTCGAACTATGTCGCCTCAATAAGAATCGAGCCTGATCTCAATTTCCCTTAGCAGACCGCCGCTAAGTGTGTTCACAGGAAGTCGAACTTGCTACCAACTATTATTCTTCCCAACTATAAAGCAGAACAACTTCTGAATCTAAGCCGACTTTTTTATTAAAAAGTGTTTTGATATTAAAAAGAAATGTCGATTACCAATCTTATTCCTCCAGAAAATTGAGAAAATAACTCGAAACTATTTTAGTGTTTTTTAATCCTCATAATAGGGATTGAGTCGTCGCTTCAGCCCTTGGCTATGGAGTAATTAGCTAAGTATGACAATCATACTTATCGTCTTTGAAAATAAAAATAAAACAAAGAAACACTTTGAAAAAGAAAAGAAAAACTTTTATTAAAAACTATAGAAAGAATAATAATGATTTCTAAATATGTTTCTAGGCTTACTCTGAGAGGGTATTTATAGCCTTCAAAATCCTAAAAATAAGGAAATATATTTCCTAAAATAAAGAAATAATTCCTAATGAAAATAATTAAACTATTTAAACTAAAATACTAAAAACAAAGATAAGATAAAATATAATAATATTTAAATTAATATCCTAAAAATGAGTTTAACTTAAATTCGAATTACAAAAAAGTGCAGCTGATCCATTTGTCCTTCTAGAAGCATTGACTGATCCTTCTAGAAGACGTTGACTCATCGCCTCGTCAGATGTGTCATGCCCACTAATCAAGCCTTGATTCCAAAATAAAAAAAACTGCATAATTCTGTCCTTTTAGTACAATTTCCATAATCTAGTGTCCTGCACAGAAAATAAATCAAAACGAACAAATTAGCTAGAAAAACTAACAATTAAGGAGCAATTTAAAGTCAAAATAATAACTAAATAAAGCATATCAATAGGACAATTGTGGACTTTGATTTGTTATGGGAAAGCAATGTTGTGATGATGTCATGACATTTCCCCTAAAACGACATCATCTCTGTACGGATAAATTCTAAATTTATTTTCTTAGACTTTACAAGATCGAGAGCTCTTACGATTCAAAGTCCTTCATCCCTTAATTCTCCCCCAAAATAAATTAGAATAAGGCCATATACATATATGGCGTTAATATTATCTTGATCGGTTGTTGTCTTCAAACAATGTATATCGAACTCTGAATTTCTTCCACTAAAATAATTATATGTGCCTTCTCTATATAAAACTACGTGATTATTAGAAACAAGGCATCTTTCGTGAAACGTTTTATCATATTGATTCCACGGTATAACGTGAAAATTTTTCATTGAAACGTTATGAAAAATATAATTATAATCCAACACATCATGAAAACTCATGTAACTTAACTACATGTTGACGAAATCGAAGATAGAATTAGAAGCCACATGCACAAGAATTTTTTATAACACTTCTCTTAGGAATTTCAACAATATTAAAACATAATATTTTTCCATTTTTCTTTGAAATAGGTTTAGGAATACTTCCAAAATGGGCTCCTATTTATAATTGTCCTCACACTTGTCCCGAAGCGAGGAATCGATAGAACTCGCATTTCCCAAGACGCGAGGTACGTTGGAAAGGTGCGACACTTTAAATCGAATAATATCCAAAGTATCATAAAGGAACTCATGTTACACAAGACACGATGTATGTTGAATTTGAATCGAATAAAATATAATGTGAATAATTGATCTCGCTGTTTGCAAAACACGAGGACATAATTCGTAAAATAATGACATTATTATTTTTAAAATCCCATAAATTAATTTGTAAAATGACACTATTATTTTATAAACTTCCAAGCTAAAATGCCTTAATAGACTTGTTCGTTAAGTATTTTTGGGAAATTAAATAAAATATTTGTGAAATGTTTGACCTTAGAGGCGTAGTATTGCGACTTATCTTTTAATTGAAACTAATAAGAACACATATGAAAAATTGTAAGCGGGTACAAATTGCATTTAAAATGTTTTTAAAAGAAAAGAAATTGAAAACTAATGAAAATATTTTTGTAAATAACTTATAGTGCCTTAAACAACTCCAAAAATGATCTAAAGCTATGGATGTGTACATTTTAATTTTAGCACAAGGGACAAGTAGATTTTTTCTTCTATAATAAATGGGTACTAACACGTTAAAGAAACAAAAAGCAAAACTTCGTCTTAGACTTGTGCTCTTGGTACCATCGGTACAGAACATAAAGAAAAAAGCTCAAAAGAATTTCTCAAAAGGTGTTTGCTTGGACCTAATTAATGAAACAAGAAGTTTCTCGAGAGTCACAAGCGGAAATCTAGTTGCCACCAGAAGATGATGCTTTGTGCTCTTGGTACCATTGGTACAAAATACAAAGATAAAAGCTCAACAACATTTTGAGAAGTATGGAAGAACCTCGTGTTGCGCATGTTCATCTTGGACATGAAGAATAATATTATGATATATCTGATGTTTTCGAGGCACTTATGATGTCTATCTAAGCATAGAAAAGAAAATGTGCCACTGGAAGAGGATGCCTTTTTTAAACTAGTAGTTTTTCAAAAATGGATAAATCATTTATAAAGAAATAAGAAGGTTTCGAGGGGATGGTTAGGTTCGGTGGAACAAGAGGAATTTAAATAGGCAAGAAAGTTGAGCGTGCAGATACTTCTATTAGTGACCTGATCGTGAACTTGCACATTGCAAAACTCGATGTCCCTTTCATATCACTCATCAAATCAACTACTGTCACGTTAGGAATATATAC